ATAAGAAGAGAGGGCATATGCAAAAGAACGCATCACACTCGCAGATAATACCCACTTGACCTGGCTTCAATGACTGGATGATCAGAGCTCAACTAGAAGAAGAAAGAAAAGGAAAAAAAGAGTAATCTGATACACTTTGATGAACTTGATTTACACCTATGGATGCAGTAACTCAGAAGAGGGAATAAATCTTTACAGCGAGGATCATTCCCACCTCCTCCATACAAAGAGTAGACAGGGATGGGCAACTTGGACATTGGCTATACAAAGTGGGGGGGCTACAAATGCAAGAAGTGACTGGCTTACAAGCTTTCAAGAAGGAACCTAGATACAGAGGGCGTGGAGGAAGGTAGAATCTCCACTGAGTATATCCAATCTGTCTGGGTGGGGCTGATGAAAGGAGATGTGGATATCTCTTTTGAGATACAATAGTGAATAATTGTTATCAAGACTGATTGTGAGGGTTGGAAATGTAAATGTAGACGTTTTGTAGCAAAAGGAAGGGAGTGATTGACTTTGCAGTCTAGGAGCGGAGGTCCTTGGGACCATTAAGGGAGAAGAGCAGAGAGCAGGACCCTACCCAGAGAAGCAGTAATGCCAGAGATGGAGGCAGAGACGATGACGTGGAGAGATGGAGTGGCTGGGGACTTTAGACCCAGAGAGGGAGAGGGGCTGTGTGCTTTCGACTGGGGGGCAGGCTTGCAGGATATACCCTTTGGTTGGGTGATGATGCATGGAGGGGATTGTAAGAATGGCAATGAAACGATATATGATAGGATGAATGTAAAGCTAATGTTTTCCCATGTAAACTATCATATAATTCACAATAAAACATTTTTTAAAAAAGTAAATGATACTGAAAAATCACTCTGATTTGATCATTCAAATTATTTTAAATGCCCAATTAGAACAATGAAATTGTATACTTTCTATGAAGGGTTTCCATTAAATTCATTTTAAGGAATTATCTGCTAGGAAGACTGAGAAAAATCAAAACAGAAGAACCTCTCTCTTATGATTAAAAACACAGACACAAGCCCTAAATACTGATTTTTAAAGAATTATGATGCTTCTAATTTATACATACTATAAACATTGTAGTCATATTTACATTATATCCTTATGAGTAATGATGTGATGGCATTTTTCAGTACATAAACCTACATAAGGAAATTAACAGTTGGCAAAGAATTTGGATGAGGCACATAGTTCCAAGAAATACACTGCAATGGCACAATAGGATGCACCCACTGAAATCCATTAGGAAAATCCATTATGCCCGGTTATAATAAAGAATATTTCAATTCATCTAGTTAACTGATCCTTTTCAAGATTACCAGAGAGTTTATTTTCCAAATCTGTGTCATTTTCTTATGCATGCATGATGCACTCAGTTGTTGTCTGCTTGGCTAATGATATCCTTACCTTAGATCAGCCCTCATGTCCTCCTCTACTCACATACTACTGGGATCTGCATACTTCACTTTAGCATTTACCCAGTAACATCTAGCTCACAACTTTTCAGGAAGCAACTAAATTGTGATAGTCAGAGGCTTCCAACTTGGTCAAAAGAGAACATCCAAGTGTGTCTTGAGAAGCAGTTGTATGGAAGTGTTTTTGAGTGCCGAGGTAAAGCAAGAGAGAAAGGAATTTGTGCTGAGGTTAAAACAAGAATAGAAGAAAAAAAAAGTGTATTTCACAATCTTAAAAGACAAATCCAAAGCAGGAATTCTGAAAATTCCAGGGGTATTATGGGCGAAGTCTTGAGGAAAGAAAATCTCATGTTCATATTTTCACTTCTAGATAACATTAAGTCTAATCTAGTGCTATTTTTTCCCCTGAATTTTAAGTGTAATGTGTAGATTGTTGTTGTTGTTAAGTGCCGTCGAGTTGATTCCGACCCACAGTGACTCTGTATAGGATTTCCAAGGAGAAGCTGGTGAGCTTGAATCACGACCCTGCAGTTCAAATGGCTTTGCAGTCTGGCGCATTAACTCACAGCGCCACACCAGGACTCCATTTTCCAAAATCACTACATTTTATTCATTCTAAGATGCCATCAGTAGTAAGCCACACCATCATGTTACCCACTGCTAAGAAAAGTTATCCCGATTAAACGGTGATCAATTATAACAAGTCACTAGTTTCAGAAATGTTTAAATGTCATAAAACTTTATCTCTTGGAATTGATGACATAATACGGTTTTAAAAGAGGGTTGATTTTGGCTTTATGTAGACAGAAAAAAAGGATTCGCTTTACATTGTAGGACAGAGTACAAATAGGTAAAATGTCTAGTTTACATTTTACTCTTTAAATCATACTGCTACTTGTGTTGATATAAAACAATTTATCATCAATTTAAATGTAAATATGCGTAAGTCTTACTTTGCTTTTTTCAGGAAGTGATGATGTCTGAATAACCAGATGAAGTCCACAATTCACCTGAAATTTAGAAATTAAACCATAAAATTTTGTTCTTAATTTATTGTATATATACATACACAGTTGTTAAAGGCCCTTGAGTTGGTTCAGACTCCCAGGAACAGCTGTTGGGTTTGAACTGCTGACCTTGCAGTTAGCAATCCGTGCTTACCCTCTCTCTCAACATATATATGTTTCTGTTAAGTGCCGTTGAGTTGGTTCCGACTCATAGCAACCCTGTATAGGGTTTCTGAGATTTTTAAATCTTTGTAGGAGCAGAAAGCCTCATCTTTCTCCCACAGAGCAGGCTCAAAACACAGGCCTTGTGGTCCACAGTTCAGTGCTTATCGTATGGAGCCACCACGCTTCCATATATATATATACAGACATAACTGGTGTGGCACTGCAGGATAAGGTAGGCGGTTCAAACTCCCCAGTCCCTCCTCAGAAACCCTATACTGGATCTCTATGAGTCAGAACCAACTCGATGGTACTATATAAAAAACAACCAAAAAAGTACCTATATGTGGCTAAATACATATGTATACATACCTATATAGAGAGATGTGTATGTGTACATATATGTCTCCACACACATACATACAGGAGCCCTGGTACAGTGGTTAAAGCACTTGCCTGGGAACTAATAGGTTGGCAATTTTAGTGGCGGGAGATGTGACAGTTTGCCATATAAAAGTCCCAACCTTAGAACCCGTTGAGGGCAGTTCTAGTCTGTCCTGAAAGGTCATCATGAGTCAGAATCGAAGTGACAGCAGTGAGTTTTGTAGTTATATACACACATATTATACATACGTATATACCCCCAAGTAGACATGAAGATCCAACAAAGAATTGGAATAAAATACATGTTTGCTTTTTGTTTCTAACAAATGAACATGTTCTCAAGATTTGCTGAAAACAGTTAAATCACAAGCAAAGATTAAAAGGTTTCATTTTCCAAAATGTTGGACTGCAAACTTCAATGTCTGCGGTTCGAGCCCACCTGCCACTCCGCAGAAGAAAGATAAGGCTTTCTGCTACCGTAAAGATTTAAAGCCTCGGAAACCATTATACATTTAACAACTATTACCAAAGGTTTATCACACTTTGCCATTTCAGGTCTAATTAAATACCTCAATGGAGGTGGTAGTGGTTGTTCATGATAAATTATTTTACCAATTGAAAATAGAGGTATTTACTGACTAAAGCGTTTAAATGAACCTGAGCCTTTCACAGCAGACCTGCTCCATCTTCTGGGGGGCCCAGATCCCAGACAAGACTTGAAATGCCCATGATATAATACCCCCCAAACGCCCTGGACCAGTCCAGGAACCTCACGCCTCAGACAAACAATAGCTAGAGTAGAACCAGGGGTCCATGTCCCAGTAATACAGTGCATCATCTAGACAAAGATGCCAAGGAGGGAGGACGATACGAACGGGAGGAAAGAGAAAGTGGAGGCCCAACATACGTTGTTCGCAGCCCGGCCAGAAACGGAGCGGTATTTCCCAGGAATCATGGCAGGAGACCGTTCAGAATCTGTGAGATAGGTCTTCTAGGTGACACTACAGCAAAGACTCAAAGAAACCGAAGGGGGTCATCTCCCAGGCAACCCGTTCAAGAGTTACCATGGAAACTACCATTTCCGGTCTGGTCCTCTCCGAAATCTACCAGCAAACGCAGTCGTTGTAGCTGCTAGCTGCGTTTTGGGGAGCCTGGGGCATAAGCACTTGGTCGTCTTATTGCCCTGGACTCATAAAAACAGAGCAAGAGTACTGGGAGGAGTAGGAGATGGGGAAGAGGCTGGGCACATCGGTAGCTATGACAACCACCACTTCCGGTCCGTTCCTCTTTATGGCCCAACTAAGCGCTGCCCGCGCGAAATTTGTATCCCGCTGCTTGTGACCGCTTGCTTTCTTGTATAGAAAGATCAAGCTCCCGCTTGGGACCCCAGTTCGGCATTTCCGGGAAGAACACTGTCAGGTGAAAGGGTACGAAGCGGTTCCTGTCTCGCTCGGGTAATCTGGTGTGCGGAGGTCCCTGGAGCCCGGGCTCCCCGGCAGCAGAGGCTCCAGCCCTGCGGGCCTCTGCGTGGCCGCCCACTGCGGAATTCCACCAAGTCTGGAAGTCACTGTTTTGCTTCCCCACAGCCCAGGCGCTGTGGCTGCAGTGGGATCAGTTCCTGCGGGGTCGCCGCGCAGATTGGTACAGGAGCAATGACCGCTCGGTCATCTGCTGCGACTACTTCTACCAGGCCTGTTTTGACAGCTGCTCTGTTATCCAGAAGAACCTACACTTCACCCAGCGTCTGAGGCTTGTGGCGAGTGCCGTGCCCACTCTGCCTGTCCCCGCACCTAAGAGAGAAGAGGGCGACCGCAGGTGGCCCCTGAAAGGGAGGAGAGCCGGGCAACTAGGCAGTCTGAGGCTACCTGGTTCCAGCTTCTTGTACACTCCTGTAAGCCAGGTAGAGAGCTGCAATTTCACAGGTGAAGGGAGACACAGGCGTCCACTGAGGGTGGATGAAGGACTAGGGTCTAGGCCTCACCTCCAGGTTTCTGTTTTTATGTCTGTAAAATTAAAAGTATGTCGAGCATGAGCTCTTTAGAATTATGTGACCCAGTCATTCATTCCACCTTCTCCCACTAAACTAACAAAACTGTGCAGTTTTGTTTTTCAAAGTATAACATCATCTTCACTCGCTCCCTAAGATTTAAAAAATAAGAATGGTTTAATATCAGAAAATCCTTAGGATGGGGTGCTTGAAATTATTTACATATAAAATAAGCTTGAGGAACATCAATTATACATGTCAAAAATGGGGTGGGGGTTGCAGAGCCACTGATGAAGGTGGGCTTACTAATAAACAACTATCCCCACTCCTAAATTTCTCCCCTTATTGCCACAAGCTGCCTTCAAGTTAAACGAATTTCCCCATCTTGCTCTCTTCTGCCTACTTTTCTAATCCCATGGTTTATACTTATTTTGTAGTAGTCACTATTACCTTCTTTCCCAATTCCCATCTTAAAGAAGAAAACTTTTCATGAAGCCTTTGAGATAACCAAGCTTTAGTCTCATCACCATCAAAATCCACTGTGATTCCAACTCATAGTGACCCTGTATAAGCTTAACAAGAATGTAAATCTCCACGGGAGCAGAAAGCCATATGTTTCTCTCAGTTTATGGGTTTGAACCATGGATTTTGCAGTTAACAGCTCCATGCCTAATCCACAGGACCACCAGCACTCCTCTTATAATGGTTGCTAATTAAGTGCTGTCAAGTTGATTCTTAGTCATAGCAACCCAGCATAGGGTTTCCTAAGAGTTTCTGGTAGGTTTGAACCATCGACCTTATGGTTAGCAGTCCAGTGCTTATCCTACAACACCATACCAGGATTCCTATCACCATTACATGGATTAAATTAGGGCTCCTTAATTAGATATGGAAGGTGTTCATTTTTGGAAATGTGGAGTTGAATGGCCCGCAACTGACTTATTTTGTTTTGAATGTAGAAAGAAATTCATAGTTTTAGAACTGAATGAAGTCTTAGTGCTCACCTAGACCAAACCTACATCTTATGAGAAAGACAATTATGGTGGTGGCGGTTATGTGCTGTGGAGTCAGTTCCAACCCATAGCGACCCAACAGAGGGTTTCCGAAGCTGTATATCTTTACAGGAGCAGAAAGCCTCATCTTTCTCCCATGGAATCGCTGGTAGTTTCAAACTGCTGACCCTGAGGTTAGCAGCCCGATTTGTAACCACTATGCTACCAGAGCTCCTTAAAGACAGTTATTGTCGTTGTTACATGCCATCAAGTCAGTACTAACTCATAACGACCTTATGCACAGCAGAACGAAACACTGCCCAAATCTGAACCAACCTCACTACTGTTGCCACGCTTGAGCCCATCGACGCTGCCACTTTGCCAATCCATCTCACTGGGGGTCTTCCTCTTTTTTTCTGACCCTCCATCTTACCATACATGATATCCTTCTCCAGCGACTGGTCCTTCCTGACAATATGTCTGAAGTATGAGAGACAAAGTTTGGCCATCCTGGCCTCCAAGGAGCACTCTGGCTGCACTTCTTCCAACACAGATCTGTTGGTTCTATAGGCAGCCCATGGCACTTTCAATATTGTCCTCCAACACCATAACTCAAAAGCATCAATTCTTCTACGGTCTTCTGTATTCACTGTCCAGCTTTCACATGCATATGAGGTTATTGAAAATACTATGGCTTGGATCAGGCGCATCTTAGTCCTCAAGCTGACGTCTTTGCTCTTCAACACTTTAAAAAAGTCTGGTGCAGCAGATTTACCTACTGCAATATGTCGTTTGATTTCTTGACTGCTGCTTCTGTGAGTGTTGATGGTTGATCCAAGAAGAATGAAGTCCTTGAAAACTTCAATCTTTTCTCTATTCATAAGAATGTTTTTTATTGGCCCCGTGGTGAGGAGTTATGTTTTCTTTGCATTGAGATGCAATCCATACCAAAGGCTGTGGTCTTTGATCTTCATCAGTAAATATTTTAAGTCTTCACTTTCAGCAAGCAAGGTTGTATCATCTGCATATTGCAGATTGTTAATGAGTCTTCCTCCAATCCTGATGACAGGGGTTAGTAATATCCTCAAAAAGAAGCTTGGTAACGTAGTGAGTTACACATTGCATTACTAACCCCAAGGTCAGCAGTTCGAGTCTATCAGCCACTCCTCGGGAAAAAGATGAGGCTTTCTGCTCCTGTAAAGATTTACAGCCTCAGAAACCCTATACTGGGTTACTATGAGTCAGAATAGACTTGATGGGAGCAGCAACAGTATCCTCAATGGTTTATAATCATGGTGTTAGGTCCAATTGCCAGACTGTTGTTCTTTGTGCTCTGCCAGCCAGCTTCCTGCAATGGGGTAGGTGCTTAAGACCCTCATGGCATTGTGCAATTGTTAGGATTTGCCTCTGCCTACGACACCAGACCTATCCAAAATCACTATCCCTGTTGCTCACTGCACATCAGTCATGCTGGCCTTCTCTGGTCTGTAACATACTATAATGCTTCTTTTCAACAAGCCTTTACTCAGCTACCCTGGTGGTGCAGTGGGTTATGTGTTGGGCTGTTAACATCAGGATTGGCAGTTCAAATCCACCATCTGCTCTACTAGAGAAAGATGAGACTTTCTACACCCATAAAGATTTACAGCCTCAGAAATCCTGTAAGGTCACTGTGACTCCAAACTGACTGGATGGCACTTAAAAACAGTAAAAAATAGCAACCATGTAATATGGTATTTGCACTGTGGGTTAATGCGCTGAACTGAAAAGTTGGTTTGAACCACAAGGATGCTGGTTCAAGCTCACCAGATGCTCCTTGGGAACCCTATACATGGTAGCTATGGACCAGAACTGACTCAGTAACAGTAACAGCATTCCTCATAATCACCCATTAAGTCATTTTCCTTCCAAAATCAGTTCAAACAAGTTCTCCTCTTGAACCCCTAATTATATACTCCCATTTCACCAACTTCAAATGCATTCATCACAATTGTCATGAAATAATTATATAGTCCTGCTGTGTCACTGTAGGATAAACACTGGACTGCTGACTACAAGGTCAGTGGTTCAAACCCACCTATCACTCCTCAGAATCCCTTTTCCAGGTTGGTATGAGTCTGAAACAACTCAACGACACTGGACAACAACAAACTATATAATTTGCTTAGTGTTTATCTCAAGCCTTAGAATGTAAGCCCCATAAGAGCAGAGATAAGATTTGATTTGTTTACCATTGGTAAATAGTATTTTGCGTAGAACAATATTTTGCAGATTGAAGGAGTTAAATAAATGTTTGTGAAATGATTTTAACAAATAATTTTTGTGTGTTACAATAGAATTTTCATTTATCTACTAGTTCTTTTTCATACAGGCACCAGAAGAAAAGAAATAATAAAAATTAGAGCAGAAATAAATGGAACTGAAAAATAATAGGAAAAGAAACACCCAAGAAGTTGATTCTTTGAAAAGATTAATAAAATTGACAAACCACTGGCAAATCAAACAAAGGAAAAGGAGGCAAAGATGCAAATAACAAATTAGAAATGAAACAGGTGACATCACAACAGAAATAAAAAGGATAATAACAATACTATAAGAATTATGCTCAAAAAAAAAAAACAGAAAGAAAAGAATTGTGCTCCAACAGATTTGAAAATATACAAGAAATGGACAAATTTCTAGAAATGCACCACTTACGTAAACTAACGCAGATTGAAATAGAAAACTTGAACAGACTTAACAAAAGAAGAAATTGATCAGGTCATTTAAAAAACAACAACAATGAAACCCAACAATAGAAAAAGTCCAGTTCCAGATAGTTTTACTGGTGAATTCTACCAAACATTTTTAGAAGAGATGGTGTCAATCTTACTTACCCAAACTATTCCAGAACATCCAGTATTCATCTGTCAGTCTGTTGCACTGTGGTAGCTTGTATGGTGCTGTGATGATGGAAGCTATGCCACCAATATTTTGAATGCTGGCAGGATCACCCATGGTGGACAGGTTTCAATGGAGCTTCCAGACTAAGACAGACTAGGAAGAAGGAGAGACAGACTACTTTAGAATGTTTAGCTGTTGAAAACCTTATGAATAGTAGTGAAACGCTGTCAGATAGCACCAGAATATTGAATATAAAAACATGATGAACAATGCCAGATGTGTCAGATATAGTGCCCGAAGATGAGCCCCTTAGGCTGGAAAGCACTCAATAGTCTCATATACATGTGAAAGTTGGATAGTGAGTAAGAAAGACTGTAGAAGAATTGATGCATTTGAGTTATGGTGTTGAAGAATAATAAAGGTACCATGGACTTCAGAATTGCAAATAAGGTGTTGGAAGAAGTACAACCAGAATGCTTCTTAGAAGCCAAGATGGCCAGACTTCGTCTCTCATACTTTGGACATATTATCAGGAAGAACCAGTCC